GGGTTTCTGGTTCTTTATTCTCTCCTTAGATATTTATTCCTCATGGATAGAGGAAAAGAATCTGAGGAGGAATATCATGTTATGATTAGTAATCATTAGTTTTGGGGGCTGCATTTTTTTTCCCTTTTGTAGTGTTGATCAGACCCAGTGCATTATCACTGAGCTACAGCTTTAGCCCTGACCTCTGTATTTATAATATCTCTACTCTTAGAAAATTACAGTTTAAAACTCACCTAACTTTAGAATTGAAATTAGATTTCCATGCATATGATTGTACTTGGTGATTTCTATTTTACATGTATTTTTAAATTTTGTTTTACTGGGGGATTTTGAACATGGGTTTATATCATCTTTATAGTAGCACTTAAATTTATGCAAGGCAAGAACTATAAAGTTCTTTATTTCAGCTAAAAAATACTAAAAAATAAGTACTTAATTTTTCAATAAAATTGAATGGCTTATTATGTAATCACATTTTTTTAATTGATAAAAAATGTAGTTACGGCAAGTTCTGGAGCATCTGTCTCAGCAAAGTGAAAACCAGTATCTAAAGATTTTAACAAGCCTTGCTGAAGTTGCCACAACAAATGGTCATAAACTACTGAGGTAAGTGTTTCGGCAAATCAGTAGGTAACAATATCTGTCTGCTTCATTTCCTGAATAGTTTATTCTCTTACATGGCTTTTGTCAGTGGTAAGATATTATAAAAATTTGCTGACTTATTTATTTAGTATATGTGCTGCCGAAGTGAGCACATATCATTGTTTTATTTAAAAGGAACAGGGTAATCAACTCTTAGGACAGAGACTTTAATCATGCTAAAGAAACCAGAGCATACTTAAATGAATGTAGCATGTATGTTTGGAGTTTCATGAAATGATTTCTTAGACTAGTCACATGAATGAATGTACATGAAGAAGAAGCTATAAAGTAGTTCAGAAATTTATCATTATAAAATTGGATGATGGCTACTCTTCAACCTTTTAGTATACCTTCATGATTCATTATAAAGTTTTCTTCCTGAACTGTCATGCTCAGTTCAGTTCTTTATCCTTCCCAGAGTTTTTTTCCAGCAGGCCTTAATGGCTCATCCCTAAGTTGATGGAGCTAATGTCTTTATATTACTTCAGTTTACTTACTTAGCATTTTACTGCAGCTACACTTCTTTGGGATTAGCTACTACAATCAGGATAGGAGTAAGCAGCTATTAAGAAATGGTTAATGTGTGGCCCAGGGATTTAGCTCAGTGGTTTCGCCGCCTGCTGCGCAAGCGCAAGGACCCGAGTTCGATCCCTGGCACCAAAAAAAAGAAATGGTTAATGTGTTACTATTTCTTAATTTAGTTATTTGACCCTCTTCTAATTTGAATGCATTCATCTTCTTTTTACTGATTATTTGCCTCCCCTCTTCTCTCCTCCCCTGCC